ACATAAATGTTGCATATACATATCTTCATGCTATAGACACTTAAGCGCTAACACATACACACCCAGAAAGATATAAAAATAACAAAACACGAAATAACATCATGTTTATATGAAGTTTGTCTAATTTTTGATGACCAAATTTCAGAATTTAGGACATACAATCAGCAATAACCATTTCAATCAACATAGACAACAACTCAGCAACACTATCGACATGTAGCAGCGACGGCGTCATCATCAACATCGTCAGGGTAATAGAGTTATAGAGATGTACGTACGTACATGGCACAAGCTTTAAAGAATCATGAACAAATATTACAAAGGAATACGTAAGTGTATGTAAAGATATGATATTGTAGAGGCAATGAATATTATTAGTTTGGATTTAAATGGCCAAAGGGTATAATTTTCAAAAGGAATACTTAAGTTTAGTGTATTTCTTCAATTTTCAATCTTTATTTTCATCTTTAAATTTATTTTAACAAAGAATAATACATCAAGGCAAATTTTTTGGCAAAGTAAAAGAAATGAGAAAAGAGTTGTAGGAGTTTTGATATTTAGAGCAGAACATTTTATGGGAAAAAAGATAAAAAGTTAGCAATGTTCAATCGTATAATAAAGTTGATAGTATTGTGTTCCATTTAGATAGCTTATCTTTGGAGAATATTCAATTGAAGGGGTGTAATACTGCTAGTATATATTTGCATAAGTGCTTTCAATTTTATTCGTTATGGTGCTTAACTTAGTAAAGAACAATGTGGAACAGATTTGTGTTGACCACAAATAAATAAATATTTTAAAAGAAAGATTTTTTCTACTTGCTTATCCTGATGTAAATTTAATGGTATTAAAATTAGAATATTCATTTTAAAATACTCTACAATAATCAATTCTTCCTATTACCACTAATAATATAAAACTTTTAGTGATAAAAGCTAAAAACTTATTTTTTTGCTGTTCTTGTGGTAAACAAAATATATAGTATGTATTTTCCAAAAAAATTATAAATTAACATTTCAAAAGTATGCTTTTATTTACTTAGTCATATGGGGCGTATGAAGAATATTTAACTTAAGAAAAATATCAATAAAATAAAACGTATACGCAATAATTCGATTGAGAAATTATTTAGTTTTTTCCTCGAGAAAAAAATCTTTTATTCAAAAGGAGTTTTATATTTTTTGAGAATTTATGTATTTGAAGGTGGTTTTTTTTAAACCAAATATATTTTATTAACTTTTTTCCTATTATACTCAAGTAACCTTAAGTCAAAATAAGTATAAGATCAATGTAATATTATGCTTATACTTAATTTCCAATTATGTGCAATCATTCATTTCTAAGTAGTTCTTCAATGAAATGGCCAATTTTCATCATACATTTTTTTGTTCATATGTCAAGTCAAACATCTTCAATACTTTATTAGACTGTCCATCAGCAAGTCATTCAACTAATGCTTAACCATGATGATAATGCATTAAACATTTTATATTAGAAAATTTTCAAAAATTAATTTTTAATTTGAAGACGAAACCCTCCCCTTCTCCTCAATTTTGTCCTCTGTACATTATTCAGGCGGCGTAACTAACACTGATTTCATTTCATGAATGTATATCCGATCGCAAAATGTACTATTTTAAACGTAAATATTCAGTCAACCGTTATATGTCAGAAATAAAGAAAAGACAGCAGACTGAATTGCGAAGGCAATTTGTAAAGTTTTAATTTAATAAAATAAAGTTATGGTGTTTTTTTCTTAAGAAGCTTGCATGCGAATATTTTGCATAAAAAAAAAAATTTAACTGAAAGAATAGACTAGTATATAGGCTAGACTATAGACTAGACTACAGACAAGACTATAGACAAGAATATAAACTAGTTTATATACCAGAATTTATACTAAACTATAGACTAGACTATATATTAAACTGCAGACTGGACTATAGACTAAACTATAGACTATATTAGACTATAGACTAGACTATAGACCAAACTATAGACTAGACTATAGACTACACTATAGACTAGACTATAGACAATATAGACTAGACTATAGACTAAACTTTAGACTAGACTATAGACTAGACTATAGATTAGACTATAGACTAGACTATAGACTAGACTATAGACTAGACTATAGACTAAACTATAGACTAGACTATAGACTAGACTATAGACTTGACTATAGACTAGACTATAGACTAGACTATAGACTAGGACGATAGACGTAGATTATAGACTAGACTAGATTATAAACTAGACTATAGACTAGACTATAGACTAGACTATAGACTAGACTATAGACTAGACTATAGACTAGACTATAGACTAGACTAGAGCTAGACTATAGACTAGACTATAGACTAGACTATAGACTAGACTATAGACTAGACTATAGACTAGACTATAGACTAGACTATAGACTAGACTATAGACTAGACTATAGACTAGACTATAGACTAGACTATAGACTAGACTATAGACTAGACTATAGACTAGACTATAGACTAGACTATAGACTAGACTATAGACTAGACTATAGACAGACTATAGACTAGACTGATAGACTAGACTAGTAGACTAGACTATAGACTAGACTATAGACTAGACTATAGACTAGACTATAGGACTAGACTATAGGACTAGACTATAGACTAGACTATAGACTAGACTATAGACTAGACTATAGACTAGACTATAGACTAGACTATAGACTAGACTATAGACTAGACTATAGACTAGACTATAGACTAGACTATAGACTAGACTATAGAGACTATAGACTAGACTATAGACTAGACTATAGACTAGACTATAGACTAGACTATAGACTAGACTATAGACTAGACTATAGACTATAGACTAGACTAGACTATAGACTAGACTATAGACTAGACTATAGACTAGACTATAGACTAGACTATAGACTAGACTATAGACTAGACTATAGACTAGACTATAGACTAGACTATAGACTAGACTAGACCTATAGACTAGACTATAGACTAGACTATAGACTAGACTATAGACTAGACATAGACTAGACTATAGACTAACTATAGACTAGACTATAGACTAGACTATAGACTAGACTATAGACTAGACTATAGACTAGACTATAGACTAGACTATAGACTAGACTATAGACTAGACTATAGACTAGACTATAGACTAGACTATAGACTAGACTATAGACTAGACTATAGACTAGACTATAGACTAGACTAGACTAGACTATAGACTAGATAGACTAGACTATAGACTAGACTATGACTAGACTATAGACTAGACTATAGACTAGACTATAGACTAGACTATAGACTAGACTATAGACTAGACTATAGACTAGACTATAGACTAGACTATAGACTAGACTATAGACTAGACTATAGACTAGACTATAGACTAGACTATAGACTAGACTATAGACTAGACTATAGACTAGACTATAGACTAGACTATAGACTAGACTATAGACTAGACTATAGACTAGACTATAGACTAGACTATAGACTAGACTATAGACTAGACTATAGACTAGACTATAGACTAGACTATAGACTAGACTATAGACTAGACTATAGACTAGACTATAGACTAGACTATAGACTAGACTATAGACTAGACTATAGACTAGACTATAGACTAGACTATAGACTAGACTATAGACTAGACTATAGACTAGACTATAGACTAGACTATAGACTAGACTAGGACTATGACTAGACTATAGACTAGACTATAGACTAGATATAGACTAGACTATAGACTAGACTATAGACTAGACTATAGACTAGACTATAGACTAGACATAGACTAGACTATAGACTAGACTATAGACTAGACTATAGACTAGACTATAGACTAGACTATAGACTAGACTATAGACTAGACTATAGACTAGACTATAGACTAGAACTATAGACTAGACTATAGACTAGACTATAGACTAGACTATAGACTAGACTATAGACTAGACTATAGACTTCGGACTATAGACTAGACTATAGACTAGACTATAGACTAGACTATAGACTAGACTATAGACTAGACTATAGACTAGACTATAGACTAGACTATAGACTAGACTATAGACTAGACTATAGACTAAGACTATAGATAGACTATAGACTAGACTATAGACTAGACTATAGACTAGGACTATAGACTAGACTATAGACTAGACTATAGACTAGACTATAGACTAGACTATAGACTAGACTATAGACTAGACTATAGGACTAGACTATAGACTAGACTATAGACTAGACTATAGACTAGACTATAGACTAGACTATAGACTAGACTCTAGACTAGGATCCGTTATAGTTTAAAAAGTTTACCAATATTTATATTACGAGAGTACTGTAAAGACAGTCCTCGTAACATAAAAGTACTTGTCAGTCAGTACCATCAGTAAAATACACGTATCGTATAATCTTAAAGTGAAATCACAACAATGGACTGACTGTTTTTATTTCCGTTTTTACTTGAATTATTTAGAAAGGAGCACAATGACGATGGGAATCTGACGATGATGAACAGAATGAAAAGTAGGTGTGATATGTTAAGAATGTGTGTGATTGTAGATGAGGACAAGAGCAACATCTCAAAATGATTGATTGTGGACAATAATACATGTATACGAAGACATACGTACAAAAACTTACATACATGCGAAGGACAGCTTTAAAACCAAGTAGTTTTACAGTCGGATAATGTATCCCTTACAAATGTACATTTCCCAGATGTCTTTGGTTTATTTGAATTTATATATTTTTGGAACATGTAACTGAGATAAGTAAAAATACAAATTTGAGACAGTTACTGTGGAATGTCGGATAAGTTTGAGTAGCACTACAAAAATATTTCGGTTTCATATACTAGCAGTATATTTGTAACTAACTTGGATTTTATAAATTGAATGTTCGAGTGTATATATATTTGTATGTATATGCATCAGTGTATGTGTATTTTGGTGTATCCATTGAGAAACTTACCAATTACAGTTAAGTAGACTAACAACACTAAAGGCGGATGTGATGAAACTTGACACTCATAAGGACCCTCGTCACGTTCGTTGGCGTATTGGATTAAAAGTTTCCAATCGTTTGGTTCTTCAAACTCTAACGAGTATCTGGAATCACCGCTGTATGTATGACGACCAAATGTAATAAGTGCCAGTTCGTCGCCTTTTCGACGCATCCATGATACCTTTTCATTGTTTTTATTCCACATTTATTGTAGTTGTAGTTATTGTTGTTCATGTTGAATTTCATTTATAGGGAGACGAAAAAAAAAGAAATGAAAGAAAGGAAATACCAGAATAAGAATAATAAATAAATGAACAAGACGAATGAATAAATTTAACAAAATTGAGTACATGATGAAATAATAAGAAAATACTGTTAAATTACTTAATATAAAATATTTCTCGGTAAGTACGTGCTTGTGCCCAGCACAACTTGACTAAATTTCGAAAGCAAAACCAGAGCAGAGGTTTGTGGTTAAATTGTGGGTGCTTTAACATTTAAATTATTAAAATAAAAGAAATCCTGATGTGAAACAGAGCGCACAGTAGGTGTTTGATGTTGGTTATTTTATTTAAATATGGTAAGTATTTTTTTTGATTTGCTTCCATTATACATAATTTATTTTTTATAAAATGTACCAGAGTGTTTGTATTTTTTACCTGGAATGTTTTCGAATTGTTAAACTTACTTACATTTGAGTTTATTTTGCAAAATGTTTTAACAGAAAAATATTTTTTGTAACTCGTGATTTATTGGATTTCTGAAAAAGATTTTGCATAGATAAGTGAAGCATACTAATTTTTCGGTATTACAAACATTTACACTTATGGATTTATTGATTAAGTTAAAATAAGGATAAAAAATTATATGGTTTTCCCCTGAGTTCAGTTCTAGTTCAGTTCTAGTTCAGTTCTAGTTCAGTTCTAGTTCAGTTCTAGTTCAGTTCTAGTTCAGTTCTAGTTCAGTTCTAGTTCAGTTCTAGTTCAGTTCTAGCTCAGTTCTAGTTCAGTTCTAGTTCAGTTCTAGTTCAGTTCTAGTTCAGTTCTAGTTAAGTTCTAGTTCAGTTCTAGTTCAGTTCTAGTTCAGTTCTAGTTCAGTTCTAGTTCAGTTCTTGTTCAGTTCTAGTTCAGTTCTTGTTCAGTTCTAGTTCGGTTCTAGTTCAGTTCTAGTTCAGTTCTAGTTCAGTTCTAGTTCAGTTCTAGTTCAGTTCTAGTTCAGTTCTAGTTCAGTTCTAGTTCAGTTCTAGTTTTCAGTTCTAGTTCAGTTCTAGTTCATGTTCTAGTTTAGTTCTAGTTCAGTTCTAGTTCAGTTCTAGTTCAGTTTCTAGTTTCAGTCTAGTTCAGTTCTAGTTCAGTTCTAGTTCAGTTCTAGTTCAGTTTCAGTTTCAGTTCAGTTCTAGTTCAGTTCTAGTTCAGTTCTAGTTCAGTTCTAGTTCAGTTCTAGTTTTCTAGTTCAGTTCTAGTTCAGTTCTAGTTCAGTTCTAGTTCAGTTCTAGTTCAGTTCTAGTTCAGTTCTAGTTCAGTTCTAGTTCAGTTCTAGTTCAGTTCTAGTTCAGTTCTAGTTCAGTTCAGTTCAGTTCTAGTTCAGTTCTAGTTCAGTTCTAGTTCAGTTCTAGTTCAGTTCTAGTTCAGTTCTAGTTCAGTTCTAGTTCAGTTCTAGTTCAGTTCTAGTTCAGTTCTAGTTCAGTTCTAGTTCAGTTCTAGTTCAGTTCTAGTTCAGTTCTAGTTCAGTTCTAGTTCAGTTCTAGTTCAGTTCTAGTTCAGTTCTAGTTCAGTTCTAGTTCAGTTCTAGTTCAGTTCTAGTTCAGTTCTAGTTCAGTTCTAGTTCAGTTCTAGTTCAGTTCTAGTTCAGTTCTAGTTCAGTTCTAGTTCAGTTCTAGTTCAGTTCTAGTTCAGTTCTAGTTCAGTTCTAGTTCAGTTCTAGTTCAGTTCTAGTTCAGTTCTAGTTCAGTTCTAGTTCAGTTCTAGTTCAGTTCTAGTTCAGTTCTAGTTCTCTAGTTCTAGTTCAGTTCAGTTCTAGTTCAGTTCAGTTCTAGTTCAGTTCTAGTTCAGTTCTAGTTCAGTTCTAGTTCAGTTCTAGTTCAGTTCTAGTTCAGTTCGTTCAGTTCTAGTTCTTCTAGTTCAGTTTCTAGTTCAGTTCTAGTTCAGTTCTAGTTCAGTTCTAGTTCAGTTCAAGTTCTAGTTCAGTTCTTCAGTTCAGTTCTAGTTCAGTTCAGTTCTTTCTAGTTCAGTTCTAGTTCAGTTCTAGTTCAGTTCTAGTTCAGTTCTAGTTCAGTTCTTTCAGTTCAGTTCTAGTTCAGTTCTAGTTCAGTTCTAGTTCAGTTCTAAGTTCAGTTCTAGTTCAGTTCTAGTTCAGTTCTAGTTCAGTTCAGTTCTAGTTCAGTTCTAGTTCAGTTCTAGTTCAGTTCTAGTTCAGTTCTAGTTCAGTTAGTTCAGTTCTAGTTCAGTTCTAGTTCAGTTCTAGTTCAGTTCTAGTTCAGTTCTAGTTCAGTTCTAGTTCAGTTCTAGTTCAGTTCTAGTCAGCTAGTTCAGTTCTAGTTCAGTTCTAGTTCAGTTTAGTTCAGTTCTAGTTCAGTTCTAGTTCAGTTCTAGTTCAGTTCTAGTTCAGTTCTAGTTCAGTTCTAGTTCAGTTCTAGTTCAGTCTAGTTCAGTTCTAGTTCAGTTCTAGTTCAGTTCTAGTTCAGTTCTAGTTCAGTTCTAGTTCAGTTCTAGTTCAGTTCTAGTTCAGTTCTAGTTCAGTTCTAGTTCAGTTCTAGTTCAGTTCTAATTCAGTTCTAGTTCAGTTCTAATTCAGTTCTAATTCAGTTCTAGTTCAGTTCTGGTTCAGTTCTAGAATATAATTTAAATATAGTTCAGTTCTGGTTCAGTTCTACAATATAATTTAAATATAATTCATTTCCGGTTCAGTTATGTGCACACATTCCGGAGTCATCGGTATGCATGAACACAAAGAGAAATACTCGTATACTAAATTTCAAAAATAACTTAAAAATAGTTATCACCTGTTTAAAAAAAAGGTAAAACTCATTATATTTTGAATATAATGTAAAAGCTTTTTTTTTGGATAGCAGGATTTATTTTGCGTAAAATATTTATGGCACTGCAATCAACGTATGTAAGTAAACTGTTTTTAACCTGTTCCAATGGTAATATCGCATATTTGTGTGTCATTAAACAAACATCTTTTACAAACGAAAATGTTGGTGTGTCATTTTCATCTTACCTTATGTCATCAATCTTTAAAAGGTATGAGACTTAAGATTAATGATTACAATTGTTTTCAACATTTGAAGAGTTTTTTGAGTTAAAGCATATATAATTTACAGTTTAGTTAGTATAGAGAACATATTTACTTTTATAATGTTACCTCATAGCACTACAGTGTTCCTGATATATCTTGCGTAAAATAACCCACTACCACAAAAGGGAATTTTATCAAATTAAAGACATTTTTTAAATATTTAAAAAGCTGTAACTTTCAAATATAGTAAGCATTTACCACAAAGATCTCTTGTACAGTTGGTCAAACAGATGCTCTAGACAAATTCGGAAAGCTACTTTAAATGTTAAAGAAATCTGTATTTTAAAATTGCCTTACTGTTGGTATAAATTATAATAATTATAGTGTTATAAAAAATTTAGGTTTTTCAAACTGTTTACAAAATTTTTCATTATAGAGATCAATAAAGTAAATTGCTAATGTAGTGGACTGCGGTACGTATGATTAATATTAATTTAAAGGTTATGTTACGAAAATCGCTATAACTTTTTGAATGTTTAACAGATTTCTATTACATACAACTTCTGCAGGCAGATACTGGGAATAGATTTAATAGACTGGCAAATTGACACCAATGGAATTTGAAACTGTATACCTAAAAACAGCAAAAAAAACCTCATAAAGAACAAACATCAAAAAGCCAACAGAACATTAAAGACACAAATGTTTCCTGAACATTAATTGCCAGACACAACTGAAATTAAAAGATCCAAAAAGTGGATAATTAAGAAGGTCCCATAAAATTAAAAAAGAAAAAACTCGGAAACAAAGAGACAATATAGCTGAAGTAGAAAGCAGCTACGTGTGTCTGTCAAAAGTCATTACAGTGACTTAAACAATAGAAAATGTGACACAAAAGATATAAGCTTGGGAAACTTCTACAAAGGCTCGCAAAACGAAGGTATCAAATGATGGCGGTAGTTATTGTTATTTACATAAAAGCTGTAGACAAATGTCTGGATTTATTGAATTAAAATTCTGCAGAGAAATTCAGGTGTAAATAAGTGGGTCAAAAGAAAAAGACAGAAATTATTCCTTCTAAGAAATTTTTGCTTTCAATAACTTTAGGATGCGTTAAAAATACTTTGAAACTTGTCCTGTTGAAAAAAAAACACATCTAAATGATTTACCACTTCTCCTAAAAGGCCAAACTATTATTCAAACTAAATATTTTTCTCCTTTTTTTCTGCTTGCCTCTATAATTAAATGTAGTAAATTAAATTAATTAAGTTACATAAATTGCCAAAAGTTAATTTCTCACTATTACAATCTAATTTACTATTTATTTAATCTCTTTAATGTTATGCTATTAAAGGGGAGTATTTAATACAGAAACAAGTTAGAGTGCTATATTAGGCAGTGTCGAAGATTAAAGGAAATTTTCTGATATGCGGTTTTTAAGATAACATATAAAATTCATAAAATTGCAAATGTTTAAATTTGATTTCTAAAATGATGATATTTACAATAAAATAGAAAAATCTTTATTTTAAATCCATTTGGTAATTTCTGTAATTTTGCATATGACTTAAATAAGTTTCAACCACGTTTGGCCGTCATATTTAAAACTATTAGCTACGTTTGGCCTTATTCATCCTATTATTTGTTTGACATTACCAAAAATAATTTCTATCAATGTTTCAGAGAGATTTTTATCGGCGCCTTAAAGTATACTATAATTTTTATTTGAGGTAAAACAAATTTATGATTACAATTAATGGCTGTTTGGTCAGTATAGTCGGGGGTGGCCAACCATATGATATCCTACACTAGTTATGAGTATGAAATGTCAAGTCTATGGTCTAGTACAGGGGTGGGAAAACTTTCGAGTCGGAAGAGCCAAAATTTAAAGTTTACAAAACATGAGTTTTAAAAGAGGCACAAAATGTTTATTTATTAAAA